CTGAAGTGTGAAGACCCTCCTAGACCCACCATGGCCTGTGGGCGTGCCTAAGTGGAGTTCTGGAGGTTGGGAGTGACTTCCGCTAAGGGGAAACTCTGCCGAAATTTCGTTGGCGCCGACACTTGTGGAAATTGTGTGGGACTTCGGTGTGGACAGCAAAGGGGGAGCTGAAAACCTCGGATTGGGAGCAGAGGAGATGAGTGGAGAAGCAGCTGAGAAGAAGAGTGAACCGCCACCGTCCAAGATCGAGGCTTTGGACGGCTCCAACTATGAGGAATGGAGCGGGCGGATGCGGAGCGCCTTCAAGCGCTACAAGCTGCTGAAACTTGCGATGGGAGAAGAGAAGATGCCGGAGGAAGGAGATGCCCGCGACCGATGGATTGAGCGGAGCGCGGTGCTGTACGACCTCATCCTTCAATCGGTCAACAACGACATGTTCCAGCACATCAAGGATTTGGTGGAGCTGGACGACTCGGGGCCGAAGGCGTGGAAACTACTGCGCGATGTGGTTCAGCCCAACACGCTGCCGATGGTGATTGTGTTGGAGAAGGAGCTGGCTGCCCTCTCCATGAAGCCGGGAGACGACGTGAAGCCGGTCCTTGACAAGATCAAGGACACTTACGCGAGGATGGCAGCGGCGGGCAGCAAGGTGTCGGAGATGCAGCAGTGCACCAAGATCATCTCGGTGCTCGACAACTCGTGGGACAACCTCATCCCCACCCTCAACGTTCAGCAGGACAAGTGGACGCCTGAGTGGCTACGGCAGCAGATCCTGCAGGAGGACTTCCGCAGGCGCCACACGGGAGGTGGTGCTGCCAACAAAACTGCTGAGGGGTATGGAGCTGCAGGAGGCAGCAGAGGAAGAGGGGGAGGGAGAGGCCGAGGCCGTGGGAGAGGCTTTGGCAGAGGAAGAGGCCGAGGTGACTACAACGAAGGGCATGGGGAGCACCCGAATGGAGGGTGCGTGCTGGTACTGCAAGAAGGCTGGACACCCGTGGTTCAAGTGTTTCAGCCGGCCTGAAGGATGGGCGCCTCCAGGCATGAAGCCGCCAAGTGGTGAACGCGCACAAGGTGGCGCTGTGCAAGGTTCAGGTGCACAAGGTGATGGTGCACAAGGTAAAGCTGACCCTGGGTTGTTCCTCATGGTTGAGGAAGTGAAAGGGAGTGAGGATGATGTGGGTTCAGTTGGGAAGGTTGTGATGCACCCCCTCACTCACTGGGTGATTGATTCAGGTTGCACGAGTCACATGACTCCACGGGCAGATTTGCTCGATGAGGTAAAGCCCCCTGGGAAGATCAAATTTGTGGCTGCCGCTTCAGGTGCTTTGCTCCCTGTGATTGGTGTGGGGAATGCCAAGGTGATGGGAGCCAATGGGGGACTTGTGGGACTTGGGAATGTCCTGTTGGTTGAAGGTTTATCCGCTAACCTCCTCTCTGTGCGCCGGCTGCAGAAAAGCAAGGCCAAAGTTACGTTCGGCCCAACCAGCTGCCGTGCAAAGCTTGGGAAGTTGCTGCTGTGGGATTTGGAGGAGAAGAGCAGCTGCATCAAGGACCTGTGGCAGCTGCCTATCATCCCTTGGAACGGGAAACCACCAGCAACGGCAAAGGCAGCGGCAGCGGCTAAGGCAACTGCGGGAGGAGAGGTGACTGCACCAACTGCTGGGGCCCTGGATGCAGTCAAGAAGGCACAGCAGCCTCGTGGTGAAGTGCTTGCAGGTGTGGATGCAACGGCTGCATGGGCAAAGGCTTCGTCTGGGAGTGGTGAGGCCGATTGGGAGACGTGGCACGAGAGGTTGTGCCACATCAACATACCGATGCTGCAGAAGTTGGTGAAGGATGGGAGCTTGAAGGGATTGGAGGTGAAGGGGGCAGCAAAGGAGGTTGGGAGCTGCCCTACGTGTCTTGAGACCAAATTCACCAAGTTCCCGTTCAGCAGCAGCACGGGACCAACCAAGGCACCGCTCGCGCTTGTGCACATGGATGTGGTGGGGCCTACGAGGGCCCTTTCTCTCTCGGGCAGCCGCTACTTCTTGACCATTGTGGACGACCACACGCGTGCAGTGTGGGTGTACCCTCTCAAGACGAAGGGGGATGTGGCAGCGGCTGTTCTCAAGGAGTGGATGCCGAGAGCTCAAAGGGAGAGCGGACACAAGGTGAAGGTGATCCGCACTGACAACGGGGGAGAGTTCATTGGCGCTGATTTTGAGGCGGTGCTGAAGAAGAAGGGGATTCAGCATCAGCTTACAGTGCCCTACAACCCTCAGCAGAATGGCGTGGCTGAGCGGTTCAACCGGACCCTGCAGGAAGGTGCCCGCACTCTACTTGGGCGTGCAGGGCTGCCGGATCCGTTTTGGGTGACTGCACTACGGCAGGTCATTGTTGTGAAGAACCGGGTGCTGGCGACCGTGGGGGACAAGCAGTGGATCCCCTACACCAAGTGGTATGGGAGTGCACCAGCAGTCAACATGCTAAGAGCCTACGGCTGCATGGTGGTGTTTCATGTGCCGAAGGAGAAGAGGGGAAAGCTGGAAGCTTCTGGAAGATGGGGTGTGCACTTGGGACTTGCTAAGGATCACAAGGGCTGGCTGATTTGGGACTTGACCAGCCAGCAGCTGACTGTGTCGAGGGATGTGAAATTCCTCGAGTCCTTGTACTACAAGGAGTGGAAGCAGCAGCAGCAAAAGCTTCCTACGACACCGCTGATCATTGAGGCCGATGAGGTGCAGCGGCCTTCAAGGCAGGTGGAGGTCTCCGTGTCGGGGGAGGAGATCTCTGGGGTGACTGAGGATGGAGAAGAACCTGAGGTGGAGGAGCTGCAGCCGCAGCAGCAGCAGCAGCAGCAGAAGCAGCAGCAACAGGCGTGCGGCTGACCGTCCTAAGAGGGATGTGCGTCCACCAAACCGGCTTACCTACCCAAGCTTTGGGAAGCCAAAGGTGGTGCGGGCTGGGAGTGTGGCTGAGCAGTGTGATGAGGAGGAGATAGCGCACTGCTACTGGGCAGCCGTCCCTGAGCCCAAGACGCTTACCGAGGCCTTGAGTGGGCCCGATGCTGAAAAGTGGAAGCAGAGCTTGAAGGAGGAGTATGACTCTCTGCTGGAGAACGACACATGGGAGCTGTGTGAGCTGCCTCCTGGGAAGAAGGCAATCTCTTCGAAGCTGATTTTCAGGCACAAGTACGGGCCTGATGGGGAGCTGACCCGCTACAAGTCAAGGCTTGTGGCTAAGGGGTTCCAGCAGACAAAGGGCAAGGATTTTGACGACATCTTTGCTCCTGTGGGGAAAGGGACTACACTGAGAACGATGCTGGCGATGGCTGCAAACCGCGGGTGGAAGATCAAGCAGATGGACATCATCACTGCTTTCCTGAATGGGATCATCCTGGAGGAGCTGTACATGCTGCAGCCTGAGGGGCTGGATGATGGGAGCGGCAGGGTGTGCAGGCTGAAGAAAGCCATCTATGGCCTGAAGCAGGCTCCTCGCGCATGGTACCACAAGCTGGAGGAGACACTGCTGGCTGGGGGGTTCAAGAAGAGTGAGTGCGACCACAGCCTGTTCCTGCTGCAAATGAAGGAGCAGTTCCTCATGCTCCTGGTGTACGTGGACGACATTTTGCTCTTCTCAGAGTCGTCTGCCATGATTGAGCGTGTGGAGGAGATGCTGGAGATGCAGTTCAAGTGCTCGAAGATGGGAGATGTGAAGTATTACCTTGGGATGCATGTGGAGAGGGACCTCGACAAGGGAGTGTTGAGGTTGCACCAGAGGAAGTATTGTGAGGGGCTGGCTGAGAAGTATGGGCTGCAAGATGGAGGGAAGCCAGCCACCCCACTGCCTTCGGGGTTCACTGTGGAGCCCTGTGCTGATGAGGAGGTGGTGGGAGAGAGTGACAGGAAGCTGTTTCATTCCATGGTTGGGGCGCTCAACTATGCGGCTAACCACACGCGGCCTGACATTGCGTTTGCTACATCCAGGCTTGCGAGTGTGGTGTCACGTCCCAGTCATGAGCAGCTGGAAGCGGCCAAGAGGTTGGTCCGCTATGTGAGTGCAACGGCATCAGTGGGCTTGGAGTACAGTGCTGTGAGACAAAGGCAGCAGCGTGGTGCTGCTGATTTGAGCAAGGGGGAGATGCGCTTGACATGCTACACCGACGCTAGCTTCAACTCTGTGAAGTCGGATGGCACCAGCATTGGAGGCTATGTGTGCCTCTTTGGAGGTGGTGCAGTGAGCTGGCGCAGCAAGAAGCAGAACGAGGTGGGGCTGTCCTCGTGTGAGACTGAGTACATGGCCCTGCATCATGGGGCCAAGGAGGTGGTGTGGCTGAGGCGTTTGTTGGAGGAGATCGGTGTTGGTCAGAGGGAGCCGACTGTGATTTTATGTGACAATGAGTCGGCGGTGAAGCTGGCCAAGAATGCTTGTCTTCATGGGCTGACCAAACACATCAGGCCTAAGTGGCATTGGACAAGGAGGCTCCTGGACAAGGAGGTGCGACTGGAGCTTGTGAAGACCCAGCAGCAGGCGGCTGACATTCTCACCAAGCGCCTGGCAGAACCTGAGCACTGGAAGGGCATGAAGCTTGCTGGAATGAGTGTGCATTGAGGGTGCATGCATGAGCTGAGGCATGTGGGATGATGGTTGGCAGCCAGAGGGGGAGTTTGTTGTGTGATGCTATCTTTCGCAATCACGTCTGTCTGCCTCCCATCATGTGTTTGTGCGTTGCATGCGTGGTGTGAGCGTGTGCAAGAATTGTGTTTTGCGCGGTTTGGATTTTCTGAGTGTGTGTGAATGTTATTTGAATTGGGCAGATATCTGAAGTGATTCATCTGCTCAAGAGCTTTCCGACGAACCAAGAATCGTCGCGATCGGAGCAATATCAAGAAAGTTACGAACGTTGGAGTTCGTATGCTTTCTGTACTTTGGTTGCGGCGACTATGGGAAGTTGTGGGGTTTGCTCAATATGGGGTACAGACTTTTGGGGGTTGGGAATTCGAACCCATCACTGTAGAATGCTGCCATGTGGTTGGGTGAAGCCAAACCAGGTTGGCAAGTGTGGCCAAGTGGGTTGAGGTGGATGGCATGAGTTGGAAAGTGACAAATGTGAAAGTGGGGTTGCCTATGGAGAGGGGATTTGTGTGGCATGGGGTTTCCTTGGTTGGGGACTCCCTTGGGACCTTCCCTCTCGTCCTCCTCTTCCCTCCTACCTGGTTTAGTGCTACTCTAACTCTCTTGTGTGAAACTTGTGAACTTGTGAGAACTATTGTGAGTGAGTTAAGTTTCTATGTGGCAGCATACCCCCTAGTGCGCCGAAAAGCATAACTCGAGATATACTCCATCTTTTGAGGTGATTCAAATTGGGAATTGTAGCCACGGTCTAGCGCTACAAGATACTTGAGTTTGACGGAATTCTAACGGTTAGTTTTTCGTCGACGGCGTTTCTTGTGAAATCGCGGTTTCTGTCCAGAATTGAAGACCAACGATTTTGTGATATTTGGGCACCTAATCTTCATAGACTCGGTCCTCAATCTTTAACATTTCCCTGACCTCGCTGCCTTTGCTACAGTCGCTGACCTCATTACGCACCTCCGCACTAGTGACACCCGCTACCGTGCTGCGCTTCCTGCTGAGTTCCGCACCCAGAACCCCCCCCCCATGTATATCACCCTCTACTACCTAGTCACCCGGCTCCCTGACTCCCTTCGCTCGGTCAGGGACCACTTCCTTGCTGTCTGCCCTACCACTCTCACCGTTGACCTCCTCGAGAAGGAGCTCCTTGCAGCTGAGCAGAGCATAGTCGCTGTAGGAGCCTCTCGAGGTGACCCTCGTACCCCTGTCTTTGAGGGGTGCTCCCCCGTTCCCCTTTTGCCCTCTGTTGCCTCTGCTGCTGCTGTCGACCGACTTGGCACTGAGTCGGTCGGCGCTGCGTCTGCCCCTAGCGGGAGGCGCCGCAACAGCAAGGGTAAGGGGGGCAAGGGAGCTGGAGGAGCTGGCGGGGGTGGTGGTGGTGGCGGTGGAGGCGGCGGAGGGGGTGGGGGTGGAGGTGGGAGTGGTGGCGGAGGTGGGGGCTCTAGTGGCAACGCTGGAGGCGGAAGCAGCGGCAGCGGCGGCGGTGGGAGTGGAGGAGGTGGCGGTGGCGGCGGTGGCGACGGTGGCAGCGGTGGAGGCCGTGGTGGCGGTGGCGGCGGTGGAGGCGGTGGCGGCGGTCGGAGTGGCTCTACGCAGCGAGGAGGCTTCGGTGGTGGTTAGCGTCAGCAGCAGCAGCGCTCTCGTGAGGCCCCGCCACCCCAGCAGCTTCACCAGTGGTACACTGGGCGTCAGCGGCCTGGGGGTGCTGGTCCCTGTACGTACTTCTTCCGTACTGGTGACCGCACTGGGGAGCAATGTCGCGGCCCACACACCACTTAGCGCTGCTTCAACCGCCTGACAGATGCCTGGCGTCTCCGGTTCCCTGACGCCACTGAGCTCCCTCGCTGGCATGATCTGCTTAGGTCGGGAGTTGCTATCTTTGATCTTGACTATGATGCTATCCTTGCTGCCATGTATGTTATGTCTACTAGTGATGACGGTGACTGTTACCTGAGTGTTCCGCCCGACCCAGGCGGTGCAGCTGCTACTCTAGGCGCCAGTGAGTCTGCTGCTCTAGGTGCTAGTGAGTCTGCTGCCCCAGGTGCTAGTGAGTCTGCTGCCCCAGGTGCTGGTGAGTCTGCTCTCTCAGGTACCACGTCCGCTCAGGCGTTGCACACTTTCACCCTTGACTCGGGTGCTTCCCGCTCCTTCTTTCGAGACCGCACCACACTCACGCCGCTCAGTCGGCCAGTTCCGGTCTCCCTGGCGGACCCCTCTGGGGGTCCTGTCCTTGCCCACTACTCCACTGTCCTACCGTGTCCAGCGGTCCCGTCTGGCTCCCTGTCGGGTCTTTACCTCCCCTCGTTCTCTACGAACTTGGTGGCGGGTGCTGACCTACAGGATGGGGGGGTTGACCAGTTCACCCCTGCACGTCAGCGGGTGACCCACTGCACGTGTGCGGACACAGGCCGACACTTGGCCACGTTTACCCGTCGGCCGGGGTCGAGCCTGTACACCCTGACTACCGAGTCTCCTCCGGTTGCTGTGCCTGGTCAGGTAGCTGCGTCGGGTCAGGTGTTTGCTGCAGCGTCTCGGTCTGGTCCTGAGTCTGCCCCCTGCTCGTGTCGCCTCCTGTCCCACCAGACTCTTCTCTGGCACCACCACCGTCTTGGTCACCCCTCCCTGCCTCGTCTCCGAGGCATGGCCTCTCGTGTCCTGGTCTCTGGTCTCCCCCGGTCTCTCCCTCCCCTCCCTCCGGGGCCTGCCCCTACCTGCGTTCCCTGCGTCGAGGGGCGGCAGCACGCCGCTCCTCACTCCTCCGAGTTTCCGCCGACAGAGGCTCCGCTGCAGACTCTTCACATGGACGTGTGGGGCCCAGCCCGCGTCCATGGACAGGGTCACGAGCGCTACTTCCTGCTGGTGGTTGACGACTACTCGCGTTACACCTCAGTCTTCCCCTTGCGCCGCAAGGATGAGGTCACTGAGGTGTTGATCGACTGGATCCGCGCTGCTCGTCTCCAGCTCAGGAAGAGTTTCGGCTCGGACTTTCCTGTTCTGCGTCTGCACTCCGACAGAGGTGGGGAGTTTTCCTCCGGCCCTCTGCGAGCCTTCTGTCGTGCGAGGGGCATCCGCCAGACGTTCACGCTTCCGGCCTCTCCGCAGCAAAATGGGATTGCTGAGCGCCGCATTGGCATGGTCATGGATGTCGCTCGTACGTCCATGATCCATGCGGCTGCTCCCCATTTTCTGTGGCCATTTGCGGTTCAGTACGCGGCGCATCAGATCAACCTTCAGCCCCGGGTCTCCATGCCGGAGACCTCCCCCACTCTGCTGTAGACGGGGAAGGTTGGCGATGCATCTGCGTTCCGTGTCTGGGGATCTCGGGCTTTTGTCCGAGACTTGTCTGCGGACAAGATGTCCTCCCGTGCTGTTCCCTGCGTCTTCCTTGGCTTCCCCCCTGACGCGCCTGGTTGGCAGTTTTACCACCCCACCTCGCGCCATGTTCTGTCCTCCCAAGACGTCACGTTTGACGAGTCGGTTCCGTACTACCGTCTCTTCCCCTACCGCGCTGCCCCCCTCCCCCCCCCCGCCGCCCTTCCTTGTGCCACGTCCCCCCCCGGTAGACCCCCTTCCCCCTCAGGGTCCTGCTCCTTCAGGTGTGTCTCAGGTAGACCCCCCCCCCTTGGCTGAGCCTTTGGAGGTCACTTCTGACACCTCTGGCCCACCTGAGGGGGGTGACGCTGCTGCTGACGCCCCGGCGGCCTCCCGCTGCGCACCACGCTTGGAGACCCCTCCGGGGTTCCCTCCGCAACCGTCTTCGCCGTCTCTGCAGCCGGTTACTATTGACTCAGGTGCTGTTGGGGGTGGTGCTCCGGGGGTGCTGAGCTTGGGGGTGCGGAGTCTGGGGGTGCTGAGTCTGGGGGTGCGGAGTCTGGGGGTGCTGAGCCTGCGCGTGAGGAGAGTGGGGGTGCTGTGTCTGGGGGTGCTGAGCCTGTGTGTGCGGAGTCTGGGGGTGCTGAGTCTGGAGGTGAGACGCTTGAGGGTACTGGGACTGCTGGTGCGCGGCCTACTTGGAGTGGCCGCCTTCGTCCGCGTGTGCCTCTCACCCCTCAGCAGCTGCACGACTGGTACGGTCGCCGTCAGGGTCGCGCTGCTGGAGCCCGGGGCTCTACTGCTGGAGGTGCCAGTTCTGGGGGTGCTGCTGCTGGTGACGCTGGTTCTGGTGGCGCTGGCGCTGGGGGTACCGGTTCTGCGGCTGGAGACACTGGAGCTGCTGGAGGTGCTGGAGGCACTGGAGCTGCTGGAGGTGCTGGAGCTACTGGAGACCCTGGAGCTGCTGAGGGTGCTGGAGCAGTTGGGGGCACTGGAGCTGCTGGAGGTGCTGGAGCTGCTGGAGGTCCTGGAGCTGCTGGAGGTGCTGCTGGCGTTAGTGCAGCTGCGCCGACACGACTGTTCTTCGCTCCGCCGTCCCCGTCGTCGCTACCGCAGCCTGACTCTGTTCTTCGTCAGGTTCTTACTCTCCCGTCGTCCACTGGTCTTCCGTTACAGCCTGGCTCACCGTTGCCTGCTCCTTCTCCTTACACTGAGCAGACAGGTAGTCCTGCTGAGCGTCGTGAGCCTGTGTCGCGTCCTGTCTCGCCTGTTCGTTCTGGTCGTACCGGTCGTCGTGTCGCTCGTGCGCGTCAGCCGGCTGTCCCCAGCGCGCACCTTCTTGTCCGTCGTCCTTCCTCTGCTCCGCAGTCTGCTCCTCTGCCGTCTCCGCCTGCGTCCTCTCTGCCTCCTGTTCCGGACCCTGCGTCTGACCGGTTTCGTGCTGAGCACCCTACTGTCACGCGTCTGTTAGCCACTGTTGTCACTGACCCGTCGTTTGAGTCTACTGCTGCGTCTGCCTTGGTTGCTGAGCTTGTTGACTTTGCTGCTGCCTGTCGTCTAGACTACGCCGCTAGTCTTGTTGCTGAGTCTGCGTCTGTCTGTCCTCCGTCCGTCGGGGGTGAGTGTGCTCTTAGCACGGACGTCCTTGAGGACAGGCAGGAGGAGTTCCAGTGTCTTGCTGCTGCTTTACCTCATCTTGTGTCCTCGCTGCTTGCCCCTGAGGGAGACCCCGATGCACCAGACATCCCGACTCCGCGCTCTTACGCGGAGGCGATAGAGGGTCCCTACTCCTCTCAGTGGCAGGCAGCCATGGACGCAGAGATGGCTTCCTGGAAGTCCACAGGCACCTACATTGACGAGGTTCCTCCACCTGGGGCGAACATCGTCAGTGGCATGTGGATTTTCAGGGTGAAGCGGCCGCCGGGTTCTCCGCCTTTCTTCAAGGCGCGCTACGTGGCTCGAGGCTTCAGTCAGCGGCAGGGAGTTGACTACTTTCAGACCTTCTCTCCCACCCCGAAGATGACCACTCTTCGGGTGCTACTACACATAGCCGCTCACCGTGACTACGAGCTTCACTCTCTGGACTTCAGCACAGCTTTCCTACAGGGCAGCCTGCACGAGGAGATCTGGTTGCGCCGCCCACCTGGCTTCACTGGGTCGTTTCCTCCTGGTACCCAGTGGAGCCTCCGGCGGCCAGTCTACGGTCTCCGCCAGGCGCTGCGTGAGTGGCACGACACACTGAGGACTACGCTTGCGGCTCTTGGGTTTGCTCCTTCTACTGCCGACCCGTCGCTGTTTCTACGCACCGACACCTCTTTGCCGCCGTTCTACATCCTCGTGTACGTCGACGACTTGGTTTTTGCTACAGCTGACACTGCTGGACTCGCCCACGTGAAGTCCGAGCTGCAGAAGAGACACACGTGCACAGATCTGGGTGAACTGCGTAGCTATCTTGGCTTGCAGATCACTCGGGACAGAGCACGGCGCACCATTACCCTGACTCAGTCACACATGGTGCAGCAGGTCCTTCAGCGCTTCGACTTCACGTACTCCTCGCCTCAGGCCACTCCTCTGTCTACTCGCCACTCGCTCTCAGCTCTGCCTTCGGATGAGTCCGTAGAGCCGAGTGGCCCGTACCCAGAGCTTGTTGGCTGCCTCATGTACCTGATGACCTGCACACGACCTGACCTGGCCTACCCTCTTAGCATCCTGGCACGCTATGTTGCTCCTGGGAGACACCGACCAGAGCACATGGCTGCAGCGAAGAGGGTGTTGCGCTACTTGTGCAGTACGTCGGGCATGGGGCTCGTGCTTGGAGGGCGGAGTCGAGTGGTCCTCACTGGTCACGCAGACGCGTCTTGGGTTGACGACCTGGCTACTCAGCGGTCGTCACAGGGTTACACCTTCAGCCTTGGTTCTGGCTCTGTTTCGTGGCGGTCTACTCGCTCGTCTTCTGTTCTCAGCTCCAGCTGTGAGGCTGAGATCTACGCAGGAGCCATGGCTGCACAGGAGTTACGCTGGCTGACCTACCTGCTGACTGACCTTGGAGAGCCGCCTCGTTCTCCTCCAGTTCTGTACGTAGACAACAAGGCTATGCTGGCCTTGTGTCGGGAGCACAGACTGGAGCACAGAACGAAGCACATTGCTCTTCGCTACTTCCTTGCTCGTGAGCTGCAGCAGCGTGGTCAGCTGCGCCTTGCTTACGTGGCCTCTCAGGCCAACACTGCTGATATCTTCACCAAGGCTCTTCCGCCTTGTGATCATCAGCGCTTTTGTACGATGTTAGGTCTTGTGCCTACCCAGCCTCACTTGCTTACCTCTTGACCTTGCTTTGTACTGTGTCCTATATATATCTGCTCTTGCTTGCTTCCTTTATATATATATATATATATATATATATATATATAGGCTGCATGTGAATTGGCCTTGAGGCCTTGAACCTTTGCTCGGAATGTGTGGTGACGTTGTGATCCACCCTGAGCTTTGCTTTGCTTTGCTTGACTGGTCTTGTGACCCCTTGTTCTCCCCCACTTTGCCTATGGGAGTGTGTCAAACATATTTATGTATGTTATAAAGTTAGGTAGGCTGTAGTGGGGTAGACTATTAGGGGTACAACACTTTAGGGTTCTTCCTTGTACCAAAATCACTCGACACTCTAGTCCACTCTTCACCTACTTTTCTCACAGAACCTGCACTTGCCCGGCCCATCGAAACTATGGGCCCGATTTTGCGGACCCTACAAGTTTATCAAGATGGTGACACTGTCACCGCGAATCTGTTGCTACCCGATGACTGGCGAATTCACGACGCCTTCCACGTCAGCCTTCTTCTCAAGTTCGTGCCGGCCACGACCGACATCGCACGTCAGCAAGCTGCCCCGACGGCACGACCTGTCCCGGAGCCGACCCTTAACCCTTCAAAAATCCTCGCTCATCGGGTCCGCCTTGACGCAGCTGGCCGACATGTGGACTTCTTGATTAGCTGGACTGACCGCACCAGTGAGGACGACACGTGGGTGCCATCCGCCTCGCTCGACGCCTCGCCACTTGTTGGTGATTACCTGGCGCCGAAAGCGTGTTTCGGATATTGACCGCCTTTTTTTAGGGGGGGGGGGGGGGGGTAGTGTAAGGAATTTTCCTGAATTCCTTATCGGGGTTGACTGCTTCGCGTACAACCCGATTTTCGGACTTCGCACGTTCGGCCGATTTCAACGCTGCAGAGGCTTCTCGCGTCGCCTTCGGCATTTCCCATCGCCAAACCTGCACCATCCTCGCTCGTCCGAGGTTCCCTCCTAGCTAGGCTAGCCCTACATTAGTCTGTGCATTCATTGTACTCTGAGTTGATACAATCACAGTCTCGTTATTCGTTTACCTGCGCACTCTCTTTTACAACTCATAACAATGGCTGCTGCTGTACGCAGTAAGGCCCTTGCAATACCGTATGATTTCTGATTGCACCAAAATCTTACACCATATAATTTCTGATTGCAGCGAGGTTTTGAGTCAAATTTGGGCAACGAACGAGGGCCCTTGCAATACCGTAGCTTAGCATAATGAACAGGGTTGATTGCGATAGCAAAATTGCCACCCTGCACCAAAACCCTGGCATGAGTTACATACGGTATGGCAAGGAAAGTGGTCCAATGGACCGTCCCATTTACAACACAACACCCCCTTTATTTATAATATCCTGGGGAAGATGCGATTTTATGGCCAACTCTTTTAACCTAGAATTGTTAATCATGTGACTTTATTAGAAGGTGCCTGAGGTTGCTGATGCTTTGGAGGCTGAATGTAAGAGCCTTTAACACGGGAGGAGACGCAGTGGCGTGGGCGGAGAGAGGGTCAGTCAGAGCCAGGAAAAGGGAATGAGGTTGGCGATGGTGGAGAATGGAGCTAGGAAGTTGTTGGGATAATACATAGCGACCTCCGCAGGGTCACTCACAATGCCCGGTAGAGCCCACGCTATGCGCGGCCCCACAGACCCTGGCCCACTGTTGCCGTACTCAATGAACGTGGAAGTGCTGTACACTGTACCTATCCAGTCCAGCCAGCCAGTTGTATTCAGCTGAGGGGAGGGCGAGCAAAAGGCAAGTGCCGTGTGGGGATGAGGGTGGGATCAAGCTAAGACAGCAGCATTGCAGAAAGGGGACAGCACGACAGGAAAAGAGGGCTTACCACATTACTGATCGTGGTGTTGATGACAGCCACTCTCGCGTAGGGCTTCCAGGGTCGGCCGAGGAAAGTCTTGTTTACAGGGTCCCCCTGGATAACAGAGTTGAGGATGACAATGCCCGTGTTCTCCGTGTAGTTGGTTCGCCCCGACGCCGTGACCACCCCACCCGAGTATGGGCGGAGATGGATCACGCAGTTGTCCAGCACGGTGGCACCGTTGCCAAAGATGAAATCCACCGACCCGTTGAAGTAGCAGTTGCGGTAGTACTGCCGCCCAACATGCGCATAGAGTGTGTCCTGCCACCCGATGAACTCGCACTCATAGAAGGCTGCGTTGTCGCCCGTTTGTCTGAACGCCACTGCCTGGTTCCCAGCCTTCCCTGCTGTGTTTTCGAAGCGAATGCCGATGGCTACAAAGCCAGTCCCGTCCACAGCTGAGGGGGGAAGAGAGGAGGGAGAGAGAGGGAAAAAGAGGGAGATAAGTACATACTCATTTCCCTCTCAGACTCTTCCCTCCCAGACCTTTGAGGGAAAATACTGCGTAGAAAGAAGCACTCAGTGCCCTTAGATACCCATGGGAAAGGGTCGGATGGAAGAGGTTGGGATTTCTAAGTACATATCTCTCTCTTGATATCTCAGTCGCTGGAAAATTGACACCCACGAAAAAGTTGGGCAGAGAGAGCACAGCAGCAGGAAGCATCTTAGGAGATGGACATAGAGGTAGAATAAGCGCAAACAGAATCGCGCAGAGCAGCTGGCGGCGCCCAGGAGGGAGAGGAGCGAGAGATCATGGGCCGAAAGGTTGCTTACCAACAGTGGCGGACTGGAAGGTGCCGGTGCCGGCAGCGACGTTGTCGTTCCAGGAGATGACAGTGGAAGAGGCAGCGAGCCCCAGCAGCGTGACGTTCTTGCAGGTAGAGTTGATGGCCACCTTCTCGTGATAGAAGCCCGGCTGGATGAACACCACGTAGCGCCCCGTGAACCCCACCGGGTACGCCCTGATCGCCTCCTGCTCAAACCAGGGGACACACAGAGTGCACACAAGGCACACAGAGAACTGTGAGGGCGAGGCCAGCACACAAGGGATGTGAGGGAGAGATCCCCCCCTCCGTTGTAAGCATGAGCATGCACTTGCACGTTCTTTCTCACACGCACCTGCACGGTGAGGAAGTTCCCGGAACCATCCTGTGCCACGGTGACCGTTGGGGTGATGCGCGGAGGGGGCGGTGGGGGGGGTGGCGGAGATGGGGGCGGAGTAGGGGAGGGAGGAGGGGAGGGAGGAGGGGAGGGAGGAGGGGAGGGAGGGGGAGGGGAAGGGGGAGGAGGGGAAGGAGGAGGAGGGGAAGGAGGGGGAGGCGGAGGGGAAGGAGGAGGAGGGGAAGGAGGGGGAGGGGAAGGAGGAGGGGGTGAAGGAGGAGGGGAAGGAGGGGCAGGCGGAGGGGAGGGAGGTGAAGGAGGGGAAGGAGGCGGCGGTGCCCTGCAGTGCGGATCGGTGGCCTTGCCGGCACCAGCAGCGGCGGCGTGGCGGGGGTGCTGCCGGTGCCAGGGGTGATTCCAGAATTGCCAGAAGGGCGGGTTCTTGGGTTGACGTTGTGGGGGTCGACCCTCGCCAGTGGGATGGCATTGCCCCTGCTTGCCCGTGGTGGCGGCTTGCGGAAGGAGGTGGAGGGCAGGCTCGGTGGAGTTGTGTATGTGAGCGGCGGCTTTCCCAGTGCCGGGTGTGCTGGTGTCGGGGATGGAGATGTGAGGGTCGGCCAGCGTGATGGCAGTGGCAGTGCCTGCACCCGTGACGGTGGGGTCTGCATCAGCGCTGGTTTGAAGCTCGGCGGCTTGCAGGAGGCGGCGGCGAGTGGGCGAGGGCGAAGGCACGGCGGGGGCAGCAGTGTCGTCGTGTGCTGCGATCATGGCGGCCATATCCGCTGCTCGCCCCAGCGCCTCCATCACCTGCGCGCGCGCGTCCATCGCTGCTCTCTGCACGCACCAACACACATGTCACCGCCAAAGCCGCGTGCAACACCATGCCAGGAACATATGGACACTGGAGAAGGCAAGTCGCTCAATGGGATACTTTCCAGGGTGGAGAAATATGGCCAACGAATGATGGCGAGAAACGAGCAGGGAGCACGAGATCAGCGCCATGCCATGCCATGCCATGCCATGCCATGCCATGCCATGCCATGCCATGCGATGCCATGTCACACCAGCCATTTCATGCCATTCCATTCCATGCCCATGCCATGACATTCCGTGCTATGCCATGCCACCCATGCCCATGCCATGTCATCCCATGCCCATGCCATGCCATCCCATGCCCATGCGCATGCCTTCACATGCCCATGCCCATGCCATCCCATGCCCATGCCCATGCCATCCCATGCTCATGCCCATGCCATCACATGCCCATGCCCATGCCATCACATGCCCATGCCCATGCCATCACATGCCCATGCCCATGCCATCACATGCCCGTGCCCATGCCATCACATGCCCATGCCCATGCGATCCCATGCCCATGCCCATGCCAATGCCATCCCATGCCCATGCCATCCCATGCCCATGCCGTCACATGCCCATGCCATGCCATGGCTGCTTCACGCCACGGCGGTCATCATGCCATGCGCACGGAGCAGCAGCAGCAGCAGCAGCAGGGGGTTCGGACCCTCGGAGGCGCGCACCTGCAGGGCGTGGACGCGCGGGTCGCGCGAGCTGCCCGGCGCGAAGAGGTCGAAGCCCTCGGCGCAGTCGAGCGCGAGCGTTGTGGCGCTGGAGAGGAGGATGCGCGGCAGGTTCACGTCCTCGCCGCCGCTCGCCATCATCCCCGCCGCCGACTCCATGCTCTCCGACGCCAACGCCATCTGCCGCGCATCACGCCAGCCACACACGCGTCGATCAGGGCCCACGGGTCACAACAGTTCACGAGGGCATGAGCATGACGGTACAATGCCGCGCTGCCATTACGTGCGTGGAATGCGTGTGTTATACAAGAAGGGATTCGTCATCCCAGCGTGTTATTCGGAATACCCGAACCGTTAGACCTCCCGCTGCTACGAATAGAGATAGGTGCTATGGCATCGGAGCGTTTTCCCCTATCCCTGTCAAAGATTTAGAAGCTACCCGAATCCAACAGGCCATGCCATCGAGACGCTACTAGAAACGTGGCGATTCGGTTTTCCTTCGCCCTACTTCTTAGTCGTATTATCCTTCATTCTCGATTCGCAGGAATTGCTTCCATTGTCTTGAACTTGGATGTCCTACTACTCTCTCGTCAACGTTTCATCGTCAACGTCAATATCTCTCATCGAGCACTTCCGCCGCGACTACTCTTGCGACAGTGCTAACCGTCGCCATGGCGGGCCCGCCAAGCCGCGCCGAGCGTGGCAGAGCGCCGTAGCCTTGTTTCAGCTTGCCATCATATGAGCAGAATCTGGGAGCATCGATTCAGTCCGACTGGAAGTGGTCGCATGCGCCATGGTCTCACCTGTTCCACGCAGCTGCGCGCCAGGCCGGTCCAACTTGGAGCCTTCACGTTTGTCGCATCCTTCAGCGCCGAAGCGCGCGAACGCGCGACGACAGCCGCGGCCTTGCCGGCCGCCGTGTGCGCCCGGGCCTCTCGCAGCTTCTGCTGGAACTTAGCGGCCCGCCACACCACCAAGTCCCGCATGCGCACCCCCGACGTGACTTCCCCGCGATATCCGCCATGATGGGGCCGCGCCACGTGGGGCACTAGGTTGGTCGGCATCGGTGGGGCCTTTATTGGCGGCGCCTGGACCGTCGGTGTGACATGCGCCTGCGCCGGTGGGCCCTTGGTTCGTCTCGCCTGCACCTGCACTGCCTCCACCGCCAGCGTTGGGGCGTCCTTCGCCAGCACCTGCGCCGTCGACGTCGCCGTCGCCGTCGCCGTCGCCGTCGCCGTCGCCGGTGGCGTCAGAGGGTCCGTGGGTGACGCATGCGCCAGCGCAGGGGGGTCCTTGGTGGCGCCTCCGCCGCCTGCGCTGCCGGCGGGCCCAGGTCCTTGGCCGCTGCTTGCGCCATCTGTGCCAGCGACAGAGGGTGCTTGGCCGGCGCCTGCGCCGCCAACGCCGCGGGCTTTAGTGGGTTTTCGGGCGACACCGCCTGCGCCGCTGGCGGGCCCGTGGTGTGTCGCTCCGCTGCCTCCGCTCTTGGTGGGTGCTTGGCCTGCGTTGCCAGCCTGCTCAACCAGCGACCGTTCCTGCTGCGCGGCACCGTCGGTGGTTGCTCCGCCACGAAACCGCGACTGCGGAAAAGGGAGCAGACCGAGAGGCTGGGTAACGCGGCGGGAAGAGCGAATTACGGACGCGTCCGCTGCCGCTGGCAATGCTGCGGCAGGGAAAAGGAGAAGAACAGTTATGGCCGCTACGAGTAGCGCCGTCGCATGATGGACGGTCATGGCATCGCTAAAAATAAAATCGCAAAAATCACTCCACAAATGAGGGATACCCCCAGGTTACCAGCAGGTACCCTGACGGGAACCTTGGCATATCCCTCTGGGGTGACCTGTTGGTATCTGGGGAGCAGGGTTTTCGCTCCAACTTTTCTCGTATGGGCGGACACATCTACACCACCCTGGGACTTGCGGGCTAGGTCGCAGTCACGCTCTCGTAGCGACAGCTGCTTGGGATAGCGAATATCGAAGTCTCTGCACGAGAGGCTGCAATGTAAGTCAAGTCCATGGTTGTGGCAGCTTTGTACTCAGTGACTCTAACGCAATCCGCCGATTCGTAAGACTGTGATGCAATGTGGTGTCGTGGATTGTTTGGTTGGCCACGAAAGCGGCTTCGTGAGATGCCGGCTTATTGATGCGCGCGTCGATCGCGCAAACGAGCATGTTTTTCGCCAAAACAAACAAAAATGTGCACTCGCACGGGCTCCATGATGTTTCACGGCATTGATATGCTATCTCAATGGTGGAATGTTGGCGGGAACAAATTTTAGTGGTTCATTCTTGTTTCCATCGGAGACTAGCCCTCGGTGTTTCTTTTGCCCAGTCCTGAGGCTTCCCGAATGTCACATTTTGCTGTTTTCGCGGTTGCCCACGCTCGATACCTCCTGAAGGAAATCGTTTCTCTCGGCTCCGAAATACAAGCCCCAACCCATACCAATAGCATCCATAGTCAGCATATTTTTTTTCTGACGTACGTGTGTTTTATGCCCTCGCATTATCAGGGTGTCAAAGTGTTTTGCTCGACCGCCCGGAAAGAACCCCCCGATGCCTGTCCGGTGGGCGAAAGGCTGTCAGACAGTGCACGCTTGATTGCTCTTGTTGCCACCACGGGGTTCAATACCGCGACACGACCTCCTGATTTCGCCCATACAACCGTTGCGGCGCCACGACTTCAATCAGGTGGCATAATAATGTTTGAACAATAGTTCGAATGGTAAAATATATACATGAACTTACCTACTGTTGTACTTTAAAAACACCCCAAAAGTAATGCTGACATTGTGTTGCAGCCCAACACCACCAGCAATCATCCTCTCGCCCAGGCAGCTACTCTGCTTTTGCCATCTCATGTCTCGCAAGGGGCGGAGTTGTTTCCACCCTTGGAATTGGAAGCTCGGCTATCAAGTGTCAAATGTTATACCTTGTTGTGGGTCATGCTATATGGGGTACAAGCAGTTAGGGTTAGGCATATGTACCCCAACCCAATCAATCCTACTCATTCCGCTGTAGCTACTTTCTGAGATGGTATCAGCTAGGTTCCTCGCTCCTAGGCCCTAGGTTTAGGGTTTCGTTCCTTCCCTAGCTCGCCACACACGCCAGCGCGCTAGTGCGCTAAGCCCTAAGCCGCCAGCCAGCCAGCCAGCTGCCCCCTAACGCGCCACGCCACCGGTCGACCTGCAGCGCGGCCTAAACCCTAGCCACCGCGCCACCCGCCCGTAGGCTCGCGCAGCCCGCCCGTAGGCCTGCCCGTCGCCTAGAACGCCCGCAGGCCCGCCCGTCGCCTAGCCCGCCCGTAGGCCTGCCCGTTGCCTCGCCGCGCAGCCCGCCCGTAGGCCTGCCCGTCGCGTAGAACGCCCGCAGGATGGGGCACCCGTCCCTTCCTCGTCTGCGCGCCATGTCCAGTCAGCGTCTTGTCTTAGGCCTCCCCCGAGTCCTCCCGCCACTCCCGCCGTCCCCAGCTCCTCCGTGCGGTCCTTGTGTCCAGGGTCGGCTTCGCGCCACCCCTCACTCCTCCTCCCTTCGTCCGGCCACCGAGCCCTTCCAGACACTCCACTTAGACGTCTGGGGCCCCGCCTCCCGCCTTGGCCCTGAGCGAGAGAGTTTCTTTCTGGTGGTCGTTGACGATTTCTCTCGGTACACCACCGTGTTCCCTTTGGCGAAGAAGTCCGACGTGACTTCTACGCTGATCCGGTGGCTGCTCGCCACCGAGGGCACTCGTGGTCGTCGTGTCAGTTGTCTCCACTCCGACCGTGGGGGTGAGTTTCGCTCCGGCATTCTCGCCAGATTCTGTGCTGAGCAGGGCATCACCCAGTCCTGGACTCTTCCAGACTCTCCACAGCAGAATGGGGTTGCTGAGCGCCGCTTAGGCCTGGTCATGGAGATCGCCCGCACCTCCATGATCCACGCCCGCGCGCCCCATTTTCTGTGGCCCTACGCGGCTCGGTACGCCGCTCACCAGCTGAACCTCTGGCCTCGTGTCTCTCGGCCAGGGGCTTCACCGACCAGTCTTTGGACAGGGTCCCCTGGTGTTGCGTCGAGGTTTAGTGTCTGGGGCTGCTTGGCTCTTGTCCGCGACACCTCTGCGGACAAGATCTCGCCTCGCGCCGTCCCCTGTGTCTTCCTTGGTTTCCCAGAGGGCTCCTCTGACTTCACCTTTTACCACCCACCCTCCCACCGGTTCTTTGACTCTCGTGACGTCCGTTTCGACGAGTCCGTCCCCTACTACGTCAGGTACCCCTCTCGAGGTCTCCCGGTTCCCCCCCCTCCCCTCTTCCTATCTCCAGCTCCTCCTCCTCCCGCCCCTGCTCCTCCGGTACCCCCCCCTGTTCCCGCTCCGTCTGGTGTGTCTCACGCTACTCCCCCTCCCTCGGTACCCCCCCAGGTCTCTCCTCCTTCCCCACAGTCGTCCTCACCGCCTCCGCAGCAGCCGTCGGCGCTTCCTTCACCGGCCACTGCGGACACTGAGGGTGTCGGTGCTACAGGTGAGGGCTCTGGCGGTGCTCGCTCTGGGGGTGCTGGCGTTGGAGCTGTTCGTGCACCTACAGGAGCGGCCAGTTCTGGGGGTGCTGGCACTTGCGCTGAGCGTACACCTGCCGCAGCTGCCCGTTCCGAGGGTACTGGAGCTGGTGGTGGTGCTGGAGCTGGTGGTGTTTCTGGAGCTGGAGAGTCTGGGGCTGGTGCTGGTGCTACTGGGGGCACCACGGCTGGGGGTGCGGGTACACCTCCTGCAGGTGCAGGTCGTGCTGCCGCGGGGGGTACTCACTCTAGGGGTGCTCAGCCGGGTGCTGTCGAGGGCGGAGCAGGTTCTTCTTCGTCGTCTCCTCACGCTACTCCTCCTCCTCACCCTTACCCGACTCGCCACCAGGCCCGTCTTCGTCTTGAGCGTGAGGAGCAGCAGCGTTTGGAGCGTGAGAGGTTGGAGCTTCAGCAGCGGGTGGAGAGTGAGAGGTTGGAGTTGCAGCAGCAGCAGCAGCAGCAGCAGCAGCAGCAGCAGCAGCAGCAGCAGCAGCAGCAGCAGCAGCAGCAGCAGCAGCAGCAGCAGCAGCAGCAGCAGCAGCAGCAGCAGCAGCAGCAGCAGCAGCAGCAGCCGCAGCAGCCTCCGCCCCCTGTTTCTGGCCTTCGGGCCCTTGGTCTCCCCTCCTCTCCTCCTGTGTTCGGTCCTACGTTTCCTCCTCCGGACTCCACTCCGGCTGTCTTCCCTCGTTCTCTGTCTCCTCCGTCCCCCCCTCCTCTCGCCCACACTTGGGCCTCTCGTCCTCCTCGTGCTCGTCCCTCGTCCCCTGTCACTGACCTCCGTACCGTGTTGTTTCGTCCTAGTCCTCCTCGTTCTCCTCCGTCTGTCCTTCCTCGTCCTCCTGAGTCTTCCCTCACTGCCTCCCTGTCCACTCCGGTCACTGACTACTACCGCACGTACCGCCCCACTCTCTCTCGTGTTCTCGCCTCTCTTGTTACAGACCCTCGTGCCTCCCCTTCCTCCGTCGCGGTCCTCACTGCCGCTGTCACTGACTTTACTGCTACGCGTCGCCTTGACTACGCCACTCGTGTTGTGGCCGCTCCTCCTGTCCGTCCTCTGTCCGCCGGGGGTGAGTCTGCCCTTGGCTGTGACGTCCTAGAGGACAGACAGTTTGAGCTAGAGTTCCTGGCAGCTGCTTCGCCTCATCTCTGTGCCATGCTGCTCACTCCTGAGGGAGACCCCGACGCTCCTGACATACCTACTCCTCGCACTTACGCTGAGGCAGTGTCAGGGCCTTGGGCCTCTCAGTGGAGAGCTGCCATGGACGTAGAGATGGCCTCCTACAGGTCCACAGGCACTTACGTTGACGAGGTTCCCCCCCCAGGGGCGAACATCGTTGACGGCATGTGGATCTTCAAGGTGAAGCGGCCGCCGGGATCTCCCCCAGTCTTCAAGGCACGCTACGTGGCTAGAGGGTTCAGTCAGCGTGAGGGAGTTGACTTCTTTCAGACCTTCGCGCCCACCCCGAAGATGACCACTCTTCGGGTGTTACTGCACGTAGCAGCGCAGAGAGACTACGAGCTACACTCTCTTGACTTCTCCACTGCCTTCCTCCAGGGCCGCCTACACGAGGAGATCTGGCTGCGTCGTCCTCCGGGCTTCACTGGCACTTTCCCGCCTGGGACCCAGTGGAGCCTCAGACGACCGGTCTACGGTCTCCGCCAGGCACCCCGTGAGTGGCACGACACTCTCCGCTCTACTCTCTCCGACCTCGGGTTTGAGCCGTCTTCCGCCGACCCGTCGCTGTTTGTTCGTCGTGGGCGCACACCTTTCTTCGTTCTGGTCTACGTTGACGACTTGGTTTTTGCCACAGCCGACACAGCTGCACTGGCGGAGGTGAAGTCCGAACTGCAGAAGAGACACACCTGCACTGACCTTGGGGAACTGCGCCGCTACCTTGGCCTGCAGATCTCCAGGGACAGAGCCGCTCGCACCATCACTCTGACTCAGTCACACATGGTGCAGCAGGTCCTTCAGCGGTTCGGGCTTCAGGACTCCTCTCCTACACCCACTCCTCTTGCTGTAGACCACAGACTCACTGGGCCTTTTCCTGACGAGCCGTTCGAGAACGGGTCCCTACGCAGAGCTGGTGTACCCGCAGTGGTGTACCCAGTGGTCCCTACGCAGAGCTGGTGGGCTGCCTCATGTACCTGATGACGTGCACTCGCCCGGACCTCGCCTTCCCTCTTAGCATCCTGTCTCGCTTTGTTGC